GCATCGAGCCGGTCGCGTCAGTGAGTCGGAAAAATTGTGTATCTCTGTCAATGGACAGAAGGAGAGAAGAGAAGAACAGATGAATCGTTTAAATTATTAAAATGCATGAAATTCTGGAGTAATCCCTTTTAGAAATGAACGCGGTAAAGGCTCTCACGATCTCCTTAATGAAAGGGTTTCTGCAAACGCAAGAGTCATGCTTGTTGCATCCTGTATAAATGAAGGAAAAAGTAAATGCTCCCGCTCTCCTCACAATCAGTAGGTAAGAAAGAAGAAATTAGTTTCTTGCGGCTCGTGTATGGAAAGCTTCAAGCGAGTCGTGCTTGTTGCGGAACTCATAATTGAAGGAGAAAATTCATTTAAATTTTCTCGACCGATTTTGTGATTTCAAGTTCATTCGAAGGATTTATGTATCTGTGAACCACATAATCGGTTTTTGTTTTTGTTTTTTTTTTTTAAATTTTCTTATTGTTAAGGGATTATTTTTTGTTTCTTTTTTTTAAAGCATATAGAGTAAGTTTTTGGACATATGTGGCCTTGATGGACCCTGAGAATTTAAGAGAGCTTTTTGCCATCTCATAGTTACTTACTTAGTTTTATCAACCTTCTTGGAGGGGTGAAAGGGAATTTTTTTGGTTAATAAGATGTAACACGTCAATTTCCTCGACCGGATTTTTTGCCCGAAAATGTTTTTGAGGGTTTTTGTAGTTTTATCTTTTCAAGTGTAAGGTGTTCAGGTACTACTTTGAGCTTGAATAGAGTCAATTATAAAACCGTGCTAAAGAACAAATGATCAGTATATTAACCACAAATAATATTTTCGATTTGTTTCACTTAATAATCATTGTAAAGCACTATATTCTAATTAATTACAATTACTTATTCGATAGCAAGTGGTTGCCAAATAACTTTTTTGAAGGAATGTCTAGCTGTAAAACTTAGAGAAAAGTCTTCGAATAATCGTCGTCTTTTTGGCTTAAGTGCGTAATGGCTTACAACTTTTTCTCTCTTCTTTTCCATCTTTTCTTCTTGTTTATCTTCTTCTCCTTCTTCTTCCGCCTCATTGCCGATCAATTCTGGTGTTGCCCTCGCGTCACCCATATTGGCTTCTTCTTCCCACTCGTCTGTGTTAAGCACAAGCGACTTATCACACGAGATGCCGTTGCAATGCAAGCAAACGTTTGAACATTTCAGGCCTGTTTATCTACAACCGCACGATTTTCTGCAACCCTTAAGGTGAATCCAGGCTCAGAGCTTCGCAATTTGGCCACCACGTCGCGCTGCTCAGAATAGCCGTATATATTTGCCAAAATAATAAAAACCGTAATACTTATTCAAGATTGGGGATCCAGGGGATATAGCAACATTCAGTAGAAGAGAAGCAGAGTACAGAGAAGAATTCAGTAGCAGAGGAACATTCAGTAAAAAAATCTTCTCAAAATTCCTAAAAATAAAGTCGTAACTACGGCGGAAAGTAATGCCCATTGCGGCAATGGGAGAGAGAGAGACAGAACATGAGGGAGTCGGTTGTGCGCTCGGCCGCCGCCTCTGAGCTGAAAGTTTCAGCCGTACTTTCTCTGCGCTTGTAATTCTAATTGCCAATATTTTTGGCTCAAAAAATCGAGCAAAAAATAATCCATATCTTGTGGATCTGCTTTTTGTAATTTGAGGAATATTATTTCAGTAATCGTAGAAGGAAAGTGAAATTCTCAGTGGTGACTGGTAGCGCTATCTCTAATCTTGAATTATCCCTAATCGAACCCTGGATTCACCTTAACACAGCCACAGAAAATTGCGTCCAAAACTTGTTTAGGTGCAGGCCCTATATAGTGGCTCGTACAGGAGTAAGCTGCGGATCCAATTTCCACCCCCAATTTAAAGGCGAGAGTGCATTACCGAGCAACGTTTGAATTTGAAGGAATGCTCTAAAACAGTGCAATTTGGCGGCATCTTCTGTCAGCGGTAGAATTTCGAGACTACTTTTTTTAGCCGTGACTGCACCTTTTTTAAACCTGATGAAACGATGTTCGTTCAAACTTTCGATATTTTTATTTGCATGATAAAGTCCGATATATATTAATCGGACGCTGCATATTAATAATATGATAATAAATATGCAGATATATAATATGCTTGGAATAAGAATGACACAGCCACAACGCGGATCGAGGGTGGAAGTCCGTGCAACTGCTTGAGATCAGTTCTCGAACTAATCGCAAATCACAAAACATATGAAGGAGCCCCACTGGATAAATTCGATGGGGGGCAACGAGAGGCGAGAGGGGAATTTTTATGAAACCGAAGCCCCTAAACGAGCTACATAAGCCCCCCGAGTTCTAGATAAGAAGGGCTCGTCCAGCGTTGCTAGGTATAATGCCCCTCCACTCCTTGGGCCATATATTTCAGCATTCATCATTTTTCTGTCATTTGGCAGCTACGATTCCTCCAAAATGCAAAAATGCGTAGACAAAACAAAAAACGTGGCCTCATCTTTTCACATCGACTTCTTCGCAGGCTGGGGCCATGCTTATCGTGTCTGTATGCTGAACCGTTGCGCGGCTAAGCGGAGGAAGGGTAATGGGTGCCCCCAGCCCCCCCCCCCCAAATCACTACTCCCTTCCCTCTGATGATGGCCTTAAGAGGGAGTAAAAGGCTAATACACATGACCCCCGAGTGAAAAAAGTATGATTTTAGTGTCATTAGAACCGCGGCCGCAAATGTTTAACTACCCAGCACTTGATTTGTTAGGCCCGGGTGGAAGAGTTTTGATATATCATATTTCCGTTGATCGACCGTGAGTCTGAAATGATCGATGTTAATCGTTGCTGATGTGAAATTCAACGCTCTTTTAGAATCCGCCATTAACTTTTACGTGAGAGCAGCCGTTTCAAAGAAAAATGGGCATTTTCGGGAAAAAACTGAAATTTCCGTAAATGCCCTTTTTTTCGGCGGCCATTTTGAGGGGTTCAAAGTCGTTTTACAAAAAAATCATAGGTATCATTTTTATTGGAAATTTTATGAACTTTCATTTACTAAATAACTCATTTTTCGCTAAAACCAATTCTTATAGAGATATTTACGAAAAACCGAGGAAAGGTCGATTTTTTGGGGGTTTTGGGGGGGCGGGGGGTCGAGCGTACAGGGGATTCTTGGGGACTTTTTGCTGGGAGTCCCTAACACCCCAATGAACAACTTGGGCACATAAAACCTTATATATAAATTTTTTTTTCTAATCGCCGATTTTTGATATAATATGCCTGGACTATTTGTTTTGCAATAATTGTTAAATTCTGCGTTGTCGGCGGAGAAAATTGAAGCATTATCTGAAACTAAAGTTTGAGGGTAGCCATGGAAAGAGAATATGTCTTCTAATAATTTGATAGTAGAATCTGTAGTAGGAGCTTTGCTAAGAATGCGGACTTCTGGCCACTTAGACTTGGCATCGACAAGGATGAGAAAATTGAATCCTTTCCTTGGACCTGCATAGTCCATATGTACTCTGGAGAAGTTTTGAGTCGGCTCTTCCCATTTATGGGTAGGAACTTTCTTAGGAGACTTCTGAGATAGCATGCACTGCTCACATGATTTGATAAATTTTTCAATATCAGAATCAATTGAAGGCCAGTAGACATATCTTCTAGCGAGTTGCTTTGTCTTTGTGATTCCTGAATGAGTTTCATGCAATTCTTTGAGTATTTGGCCTCTTAATAGACTCTGTTACCTCTGTAAACAATATCGCCTTCTAATACGTACTCCATACAGGCGGGGTCTTCGCTGCTGCTGCGAAGCTTGGAGATAATATCAACGAGCTTTGGATCCGATATTGCCGCCTCTGCGATGTCGTTACTTGTGACATTGGCACTGGAAATTTGATTAAGCGTATTTTCATGACAAGCTGAGAGTTCGAAATCCAGAAGTGGTTGATTTCCCTGAAAATTGCGGCCTGAAACAGGGAATCGTGAAAGGTAGTCAACATTTGCATGAGCTTTACTGAGCCGATGCTTTACCTCATAGTCAAGTGAGGAGAGGTAGGCTGCATAACGTAACAGCCTTGCTGCTGTCATGGGAGGTAGTTTCTTGTTCTGATGTAGGATTCTGGACAGCGGCTTGTTGTCTGTTATCAGGGTAAATTTGCGACCATAAATGTACATATAATATTTATCTAAAGCAAATACAATCGACAGAGCTTCTCTGTCTAATTGACTGTAATTTTTCTCAGCCGGGGTTAACGATCTAGAAGCAAACATGATTGGTCTATCTGATCCATCAATGATATGAGAAATTACAGCTCCTAACCCTGTAGGGCTTGCATCACAGGCCACTGTGATCGGTAGATTCACATCATAAGAGACTAGCACATGATCACTGGCTATGATTTCTTTAAGTTTTAGAAAGGCTTTTTCACAGGCATCGGACCATTTGAATGGATGGTTTTTTGAAAGTAATTGACGGAGCGGTGCTGTTAAGGTAGATGCATTGGGAACAAAACGTGAGTAATATGTGACTAGTCCTAAGAATTGCATCACGTCACGGCGGTTCTGCGGTCTCACTGTCTACAAAAAACCAGAGATTTTCCTTGGGTCTTTATACACATTTCTTCCTTGAATGATGTAACCGAGGTAAGCAATTTTATCTTTAAAGAAATGACATTTTGACAAATTGATATGCAAATTTTTCTCCTGCAAACGCTTCAACAATGCAATTAAATTTTTATAACACTCATCATAATTTTTCCCATGCACTATAATATCATCAAAATACCAAATAATACCTGAAAGTCCAGCGAGTAGACGACCAAGGATCTGGTGGAACTGGCTGGGGGCTGTTTTGATTCCCAAGCTGAGCCTGTTCATGAGGTAAGTGCCTCTATGCGTAGAGATGGCTTGAATTTTCTTTGCTTCATCGTCCATTTCAACCTGTAGGTACGCTTTGTATAGATCGATCTTGCAATAAACTGAAGATTCTTTGAGTTCGCTTATGAGTTCTTCGATGCGAGGAATCGGGTAGTGAAAGTCTTCTAGTTGAGGGTTGACTCCTGACTTGTAGTCGACGCATAATCTCACTTTTTCCACTGTCTTGGGGACTGGAACTAGAGGTGAGCCCCAATCGCTGGTGTCGGTCCGGGTGATGATGTCGTCACGCTCAAGGTCGTCGAGCTCATTGTGGACTGGTTTCTTGAAGGCATAGGGTGGATCACGGGGTTTCTGAAACTTAGGTTTAGCGTTAGATTTCAGAGGCAAGGAGCATTTCAAGTCTGGAATTTTTCCAACCTTTTGTACGCAAATATCTGGAAATTGCTGTTGGATATCTTGAACCGTTATTCGATGAACGGAAGAAAAGTCTTCCTTGGAACTGGGCTTTTGAGTGCTTAACTCATTAAGGTTAATCTGGAAACGTCTGATCCAAGATCTACCTAAAATTGCTGAAAATTTCGATGGTACCACATAAAATGGAACATATGCAGTAATATTGTTGAATGTGATTGCTACTTTGGCATATCCAATAGGTTTAATTATGCCATGGTCATAAGACTTGAAGTTTTGACGGGCAGGAAACAGTTTAATTCTGGGATCGAGTTTCAAAAATTGATTTTCAGGGAGTAGCGTATAACCACAACCGGAGTCTACTTCGAACTGGGTTTCAAAACCGTTGATATCAACTGACGCAATATATTTCCCTGTATCATCATCTTCACTATAAAAAGGATCACTAGACAAGAGAAAACAATCTGGATTTGAACTGAAGTCAACGATGTCATTTACATCAGGATATTCATCAGTGACAGCGTTAACCTTATGGGACCTATTCTGAGTTAATAACGTTGAAATGCACACTTTGCTGATATGGCCAGTTTTAGAACAGGAGAAGCATTTGAGACTACTTGGATTAACTTTACAATCAAAAGCTCTATGATTATTGCGCCCACATCTAATGCAGAGATCAGAAATACCCAGTTTTTCATAATCTATTCTGCGCTTAGCAGATTTGCCTCTCTTGGAGTGCCTGCTGTCACTACGTTGATAGCGCTGTTCGCTCTTATTTCTACTTCTATACCTTGAATTGTGACTAGAAGGTGGTTTTGAGCTATGAATTTTGCAAACACTAGTGACACCAGTTGTTGATGCTGAGCCGTTCAGGATCTCCTGGTTATCAAGCTTCGATGACTCGAGCGAAAGAGCCATGTTGACTGCTCGCTCGAATGTTAACTCTGACTCACACAATAGTCTCTCTCTAATAAAGGAACTTTTGATCCCACGGATGAACTGGGCACGAAGGAACATGTCAGCAATTGATTTCCCGCAAGTACACTTGAACTCAGAATTTTCTAGAAAACTACGTAGAGCTGCAACGTACTTACCGATTGTCTCCGTGTCTTTCTGCAGTCTTGAGAGAAATCGATGTTGTTCTAGTAGTTTATTTGGGGGAGGAGATAAGTGCTGGGAGAGAGATGCGATGATATCCTTGTAGGAAAGATCTTTGAGTTCTTTGGGAGCTGATATGGCTTTCAAGAGTTGGTAAGTTTCACTTCCTAGACAATTAATAAGAGTGCTTTTCATGAGGAGAGAATCATTTGAAATACCTCTAAGGCCGGCGAAGTTTTCAAAACGTTCGACGTATTGACAGAATTTTTCTTTGCTGTCATATTGCTCAAAATTCAAGATCCTCCAAGTGCAGGATGAGGTTGAGGATGATCCATCCGGGTTAGATTCTCCATTCGATTGACCGGCTGCTGCTCCTGGAATTGCTGGGGCCTGGATTGAGATGCTTGATAGGGAGGCTTGTACCACGTTTAGGAAAGCCGTAAATTGTTCTTCGTTCATTTCTAACGGGTGGAGTCGAAGTTGAGCAGGAAAAGCTGGAAGGAATGCCGATTAATAAATCGCGATTGAGTTGACGCGGCCCGGGTAGCACGAGGTCATAGACGAGGTACGAGGTTAAGGTTACCTCTTCTCAAACGAAGGTTGGAGCTGGAGCCGTGATTGCGGATAAGGCACATTTTCGAGAAGTACCGGACGAGAGAAAAAAGAGAATTGGTAGATAAGTTCTAGTAATGCGAGAACATTTTTTAGAATCCTCGTCGCCAATTTGCTATAACGAAATAACGAGAACGAGCAGAGACATTATCACACAGCGAGTTTATTCGATAGAGAAGACAGAGAGCGCCTCCACGGCCTGACCCTGACGGAGAGACACATCTCCGCCATTACATGTTACCAACCTATGGGATATTACAAACAGATTAAAGTTACATATCAGTACATGAAACACACCAAAAATTACGGTGTGGAAAAATTGTGCTCATGGTTAAAAATAGACTTTTGTTGAATGGAGCCATCCTCGAATTAAATATGAAAATTCTCTAACTCTCCGGAAAGATTCGCCAATCATTCATGGGATGCCTGTATCTAGGTAATTTTTTGCGTACTTTCGATTGAAACGGGTGAAAATTGTGAAAAACCCTGTTAAATGGGCCAATCAGAGCATTTTTCACGATTTTTGGGGTTTCATTTCCACATTTTGGCAAGTCTTTGTAGATAACTTGAAAAAAGTTTGTGATACAACAAGAACAATAACGAATTCAGAAAGAACGCAAAATATTCGATAGGAATCGATACTTGACTGCCTCTCTCAGCTTAGACTGTCTTCACGAAAAACGGTTTCAAACTCGAGAAACTGGAAAAAACGGCATTTTCTCCAGCTCACTAGTCATAATTTACATCCTGGTTGCTTAACAGGTTATAGAACGTTGAGTAGTATATATGAATAACGTACAAAGTTTCAGGTTGATGAACAGTTAGTTACTTAGTTCTTTTATTTATAGAAATTCAGCATCCTAGGCTATTAACGTCTTTTTCATCTTCAGATATTGACGATAGTATCCGTATCTTGACGCCGCGAATGACCGCGTTATCGCAGTATCCTGCAAGTTGACAGATAATAAATCAATCAGTAATCATTATCAATCATAGACCAGATCACTGATACCTAAATGTATATCTTTTCCTCTTCGATGGTTCAATATCTGTCACCCGGGAGGAATCTCGATTTCCTCCTTTTCTCCGCTTTACTTCACTTCAGACATGTGCATGTCAGTAGTAAAGTGATTACCCGTAAAATGCCGAAGTTTTACTCGTGCGCGGTGTGCGGTGTTCGGGCGAAATTGACCAAACTACGGTCGATTGACTCTAAAAGTTTATCTTTTTATAAGGCGAATAATCCTGGACTGGCATCAAATTCAAAAATCTGCCACGCTTGTCGGATTACGGGCGCAAAAGTTTCCGAAAAACGACGTTCGTCGACCGTGTCGGATAGTGCGATCGCATCAACCAGTAATAGTATTACACTGAATTTAAGAGGAACGGGGCCCTCAAGTCATAAGCAGTGCGTCGTATGCCAAAACGTTTCAACAACGTTGAGAGTCGTACCTCTTGAAGCGCGGTGTAGATTTTTCATTAAGCACGAGCTGATCATCGCCAAGGGAGCTCGTTGCTGCTCGAAGCATTTGGATGGGAATATTCTCAAATCAGATGTTTTCATTCCTGAAGGGTGTGAAAAAGTTTCTCTAGATGCGGAAGATCTGAGATTAATAATAAGAAATATGCGGACCCTCTATCATCTCAACAAGGGCTGGATTTCGATACCCCAGGAGTTTTAAATGATACGGACTACTGGAGACTTACGGGCGTTGTAAAGTCAAACTTTGATGCAATACTAAACCACGTCAGTTCTGAAATTTGAAGCTCTTCACATCGAAGTCCACGAGGTTGCTTGGCTATTTTTTTGATGAAGATGCGAACCGGGCTATCTTATCACGTGCTTTCAACCTTATTTGGAGTTCCGAAAACAGTTATACATAGGTCCGTTCATTCTATGCGTGCCGCTTTAATAGACAAATTCGTGCCGAAACACCTGGGTGTTGGTCATTTAGATCGTGAAGATTTTATTAAAAATCACACGCGCCCATTTGCCTCGACTCTCTTCGCTCAAGGTAGAGATGACACCGCGATAATCGTGGCAGATGGAACTTATATTTATATTGAAAAGTCCGGAAATTATAAGTTTCAGCGTAGGACCTTCTCTGTCCACAAGGGTCGTCCTCTCGTGAAGCCAATGCTTGTCGTTAGCACTACCGGCTATGTACTTGATGTGTTCGGACCGTACTTTGCCGACGGCAAGAACAATGACGCAAGTATACTGACGGCGGAAATGGAAGCTTCGGCAGCAGGACTGCGGAGCTGGTTGAAAAGGGATGACGTCCTTATTGTAGATAGTGGATTTCGAGACTGTTTGGACCTCCTAGAAGACATGGATTTGATTCCAAAAATGCCGCACTTCCTCGAGAAAAAAAACAGCATTCAACGACTGAAGCCAATGAATCAAGATTGGTTACCGCAGTTCGGTGGGTTGTGGAGGCGGTTAATGGGCTCATGAAAACATTTAAGGCGCTTGATCATAGGATGCCTAATTCACAGATTCCCTACATTAGGGATTATGTTAGAATTGTGTGTAGTATTTGTAATACCTTCCGTCCTCCCAGGATCTCGGAAGATGAAACTTCCACAATTATTGCGGAGCGAATGTTAAAATTGGCTGTAACCCCCAATACTTTACAGGAGAAGGTCGAAAGCGAAAACTGGGCAAGGAGGAGAGTTGTGTGGCAGGAGTTGGACGCAAGCGACATCTCTGATTTCCCAAAATTAACACTGGAAGAGCTAACGTCATTAACTTTAGGCGTTTATCAGTTGAAACAGGCGGAATCCTACTCAATGGAGCATCAAGACAAGGATGGATTGTACCAAGTTTTCACACACAAGGACAGTGCAGATGTGCTTCGAGTAAAAATTCAAAGTCGACACACAAGCTCGAAAGTGTACACACTGTGGCTCCAGTACCATACAGCCGGAGTCAATGGATGGTACTGTCAGTGCAAGGTTGGCGCGCGAGTTGTTGGATGCTGCGCCCACATAGTATCGGTGGTATGGTATCTAGCGTACCATAGATTTCAGGAGACGCGTGCAAAGAAGTATTCTGCAACGTTTGGGACGCATCTCCTCGATGCAGCAACCGAATCTGAAGAGGAAGGCTGGTCGTCAGAGAATGAAGACAGTTAGCAGTAAGGTATATTAACGAACTGTGTATCAATAAATGTTTCGTACTCTCAACATTTTCATTATTTTTCTTCTTTTTTTTTCTCTCCACCCAGTAAATCTGATGTAATCAGAATACGCATACTATCGTCAATATCTAAAGATGAATGTCAACCTGAACTTTGTACAAGCGGGATCGTTATTCCTGCGAAAAATAGTTTTCCGTAACCCGCCATACACTTTAGTGCACCGCTATAGTGGCCATAGAATAATAGCTCTCGCACCGATTCTACATTCACGACTTATCAGTTATCAGCGATTGGGAATCCCACGTTTATTTTCTTGCTCTTTTCCTCTTTCCCCTACTTTCATCGTTGTCTCCACGG